GCGCGGCGTCCCAGCCAGCGGCACGGCGGCTGCACCGGTTCTTGGTGGGGAGTAACAGCCCTCGGGGGCTGCGTGAGAGTCCCCAGCGTGCCACCAGCCCCAGCGGGTGCTCGGGGGGAGCCGGGCGGCCCCTGCCAAGCTGAAACGCCCTGAGAAGTGCTGCTGTAGGTCACAATTGCTTTCCACTAACCTTTTTGTACTCCCAGAGCGGAGCAGCTGGGTTTTAAATGGTAGTGTACTTCTTTCTTATCACTTTTGTTAAATTAAAAGTACGGTTTGAAGGAGTCTGGCTGGTCTGTGCGGGGGGCGGGTGGGCGGGAGGCGCGAGCTGGTCCCACTGTGAGGACACTGCTCCGGTCGCTCTCAAGTTCTTTATTATGGTGGAAACATAGAAAACATGAGGACAAGAGAGGTGTAGGTGGGTGACTCTTCCCACTAGTCAGCAGTTCTCCCCTCATAGGTGCTTTCTGCAGGGTTATGTGGAGGTTAGCTTGAAGGAAACATGCACAAGTGACACGACTGCTTGCTCTGTACCGCTCAGCGCCGCTTCTCTCTTCACCGAGGAGATAGAAGCCCCAGGGAGGAGCTCCTCTGAGGCGGAGGAACCTTTCTAAAAGCCAGAGCGGTCCCTGCCCTCCTCACGTCTCGCCCCTGCTCTCCAGCTGGTGCCTTGCGCTGCCCTGGTGTCCCCTCTCCGTCCCCGGCTCCGCTGGAAGTGCCGCGCACGGCGGTGGGCACGCCGGGCCTCAGTACTTGTTGATGCCAAAGACCCGCACGCCGTGGAACTGGGGCAGCTTGGGCAGAAGGACGCTGAGCAGGGAGGCTGTGTTGATGACAAAGTGCGCGGGGTCGTATTTGGTGTAGAAGCTGGTGAGGAGGTACCTGGGGGAGAGAGGGAGACACCGGGTGAGCTCTGTACCACTCCCACCCTCCCTGCTGCCAGCACTGGGGGGAATTTCGGGTGTCTCGCAGGTGTTTCCCACGCAAAACAGCACCTCGCAGCAGGGGAGCCCTCTCCAGCCCAGGATCTGTCCCTGCCAGGGTGGCTGTGCCGGCAGAAGCCCAGCGGTTGCACCATGCACCCTTAAACACCCTCCTGCCTCATTCAGCGGCACTCACAGCACTACTGGGGAGATGCTGAGGAACTTGCGCGACGAAGTGCACTGCGTCCCATAGTCGATCTGCTCCCAGTGCGTGAGGAGGCGATCCTTGCCCTGGTCCGGGGTCTCGAATGGGGTCCCCTTCACCGTGTGCAGCAGCAAGTACATGACCTGCAGGTTTCACAGGAGAGGAGATGTAAAGCAAGCCCAGGACAGCCTGCTGCTGGGACAGAAACGTGCTTTGTGCTGTTTCCCGAGCTCACGACCTTTCAGTGCCAACCCCCCAGCCTTTCCCCGGGTGCCCCGCAGGAACCAGGGGCTTCCTCGTAGCGCAGGGACACGGGACTGTAGCCAGCGAAGGCCAGCCTGCGTGCTCTCCCGCCCTGGGAGAAAGCTGAGCTTTCACTAACCAGGTTGTGTATGACGTTGGTGAGCGTCCAGACCACAGGAATGCTGAAGAAGGGGATGCTGAGGAGAACGATGTGGAGGACTCCCACGGAGATGACATACGCCAGCCAGATGCCCCGGCTGTTCATCACCCGCGTGTTGGGGTTCACCTCGCTGTGTGCCACGCCGACGTTCATCCTGCAGCAGACAAACGAAGGCTTCCAGAGGTCTCCTCAGAGAGGTTTTCCCAAATCTCTGCAATTCCTAACCCAGTCAGGGCTCTTGGTGTAGCCCAAGATCCACGATTTTCCTGCAGCACCTCTCACCCTGTCCTTCCCAAATGCCGGACCTCAACACATCCCTGATCCCAGCTCCCAATTAGCGACTCTGCATCTCAGCCTTAAGGACAGGAGCACAAGGGCAACGAGAAAAGAAAGGAGCTCACCCCCAGTCACCAGAAACGCTGGGAATAAAGGAAGAACCACTCCAGGACAGGGCTCCCCTCTCCCCGGCACCTCCTGCGCCATAAACTCAGCTCCTTGGCCCCAAGGCACGCGTGGGGCCGGGAAAGCACCACAGATCCCTGTCCTCGAGGAGAATATTGCCCTCCCCAGGGCCGGGTACGCTTGCTCCCCTCACGGCCCGTCCCTGCCGCCATGGCCTCGCACCCCCGGCCCCTCAGAGCCCAGCCCTCCTTCCCTGTCCCCTCGGGCCCCTGGCCCCTCGCAGCCCTGTCCCCCCCAGCCCTGTCCCCTCCCTCCCCGTCCCCTCACAGCCCGGCCCTGCCGCCACGGCCTCTCACCCTCGGCCCCCCACAGCCCAGCCTTCCCTCCCTGTCCCCTCAGGGC